ATGATCGCGATTATGGGGGGCATCAAGGGGGACTCTTGGGAGATCAGTTAACTGGAGGCAATCCACCAGGACTATCGGGACGTGATTCTGTGCTAGGCGGTGATCGTCTAAGGCAGTATGGGGTACCTGAAGGCAATCCTGCAGGACTTTCAGGACATGATCGCGAGCCGAGGGGGCATCCTTTTGTAGAAGAGGAACGTTCAAGGACCCAAGGGGATGACGAACAACCGAAGGCCTTGAGCAGCGAAGGGGCACAGTTCGTGGACAACAGTCTTGGGGGCATGTACGCTACTCGAGGAGGTGGTCTGCGGACAGAGGGTCCTATAGAAAAGGACAACATGTTTCCTGGAGGCAATCCAGCTGGACTTTCAGGACATGATCGCGAACGTGGGGGGCGTTTTCAGAATAGTTTTGGTCATATCTCAGGTACCAGCACGGGAAGGACGGGACGTGTGATGTTTGGTCAGGAAGCAAGCGGTCCATGGAATCCTCTGGGGGTACGAAGAGCAAGTAGTTCACCACCAAGGGGAACAGGGGGCGCAGATGGTACCACAGGGAGCAGTAGACCAGTGGAGACGCCAGCAAACCCCATGGAGGCCTTGATGCAAGGAATGTCACAACTTCAGGCGGCAATGGCAATGCAGATGGGTATGGCAGCTAGTCGTCCGGAGGTGATCAAGCCAGGAATATCGGGGTCAGAGCTGCCCAAGCTTCCGGAGGCGGACGAGCAGGCGGCGATCAACGTGGGGGACTGGCTACATGGACTGGCCGGACCAATGGGGGACTTGACAGACGGAAGTTCTCGATGGTGGGCGGAGGAAATGAGAGCCTTGGATGCGTTCTACCGGGACTACGTGGCGGCATCTACTGTCAAGAAGCTACAGATACGAGCCGAGGACTACATGACGCCGGAGTTAAAGGATCCCAAATGGGTACGCTTGGACAAAAGGGCGGCGAGCATGTTGTTGCAGGCGGTTCCAGAGGGCTTAAGGAGCGAGTTGATGGCCAACAGGTTGAGCTCAACGATAGCAATACTGGGAAGGATTATAACCATTTACCGCCCAGGCTCAGCTGCAGAACGTCAACAAGTTCTTCGCGCCTTGGAGAACCCGGGCTCAGCAAGCACGGCAGCGGACCTTGTGGAGGTTTTGAGACGTTGGATGAGATGGTTAAAGCGAGCTCAGGACTTAGGGCTACAGGTTCCAGACGCAAGCATACTCCTAAAGGGGCTGGACACTGCGGTCAAGGCCCAGATGGAAAAGAACGGCGAGATCGTCTTCAGAAGCAATATGCTGCGGTACACACTGGACTTGGATGCCGCACCAACCCTTCCCAACATCTACAAATACCACAGTCACTTGTTGGCCGAGTTCGAACAGTTATCCTTCAGAGGGCGTAACAAGCCACAAACCCCGACTATCCCGGCAGTGAAAACAATGGTGCCAGGAACTGGAGGATCTACAGCGGCGACTCCGAAGGCTGGGGCTTCACCCAACGCAGCGGGCAACGCCAAACCTTGCAAGTTTTTCATGTCGGATACTGGGTGTCAAAGGGCAACATGCCGGTTTTCACATGATTGGCAATCTGTACCTCGAGAAGATCGGGCAGACAAGTGCAAGGGATGTGGAGCTAAGGGACATATGAAAAGGAATTGCCCCGTGAAGCCGAGTGCGGAAGCACCCAGGCGCGGAGAAGATGGTGGTGGATCCGGCCAACCTCGTGTCAAGAACCTCTCTCAGGAGAAGCGCGAGGACGGTACAGTTCCGGCGACTGAGGCTCCGTCTATTACTACTATGACATCGGCGACCTCCTCTACTACCCCAGCAGCCGCCTCAGCGAGCGGAGGAAGTTCCGGAAGTTCGAGTACGGTGGCAGCGAATGAGGATTTTCTACGGAATGCTACGCAGATCCTCAGGATGATGGCGGAGCAAAACGCGGGAAACCACCCGATGCCTTCAATGAAGATGTTACAGCGAGCAGTGACGGAACTCGAGGCAAAAATGGCCTTGGTGGATTCGGGTGCTACGCATCCACTTCGACAGGCAACGGGACAAGAATGGGAGTGTTCGAATGAGGTGGACGTCCTGATTGCGGGGGACGGAGTCACAAAAATGCGGCAAAGCGAAGCAGGAACATTGTTCACGAGCCCATCTTCTACCCGGACTCAGACTATCCTTCCTGTGGGCGGTCTGGTGTCAATTCTGGGGTACGAGCTGATTTGGACAAAGCGCAAGTGCGCCCTCAGAGCACCAGATGGTCGGGAAATCCCACTTCGTGTAACCTCGGGCTGCCCCGAGGTCAACGAGGCCACGGCGCTGGAGTTGATCGCCCGGATTGAGGAGGAGAAGGTTACCATGCTGAAGGAGAAGGCGAACCTGACCCGTATGGCAGTGTTACGAGCGCAGCAAGTTCAAGGTGAAGAACAGTGGGAGGCTAGCATGAGAGAGTACGTTGCCAAGGGCAGGTTTGAAGATGGGTACAGGGCTCTGGTTTCAATGCCATGGCTAAGGAGTGTTCACCGCGAGGACCTCGTGAAGATTGCAGTGGACCTACCTACCAGTGAGTCGGAGGCCTGGGAACTGATGATGTCGTTGGGGTTCAACCGGCGGATGAGAAAGAGACTTCTGCATAAAGACTGGATAGTGAAGCTATATGGTGGTGCAAGAACTCAAGCAGACAAGATTTTCCGGCCCCTAGAGAGCAACAGCACGGTGGTCTTGGACGTGGACCTGATGAAGAATGC